AACGTATGTCGCATCGGAGTGCTTTTTCGTTCGATCGCATATGCTGTCATCGTGTTCGTCTCGACGTTGACCACTTATGTTGCCAAGCCGTCATCAGGACCCGGGCAACTCTCCTAGATGATTGTCGCAAAAATCTCTCGAAATGAGCCTGAAATATGCAAACTTTTGGGACTCCAGTATGCAAAGTGCGACAAGGCCCGTGACTATGTCACGTTATGTAATGATATGTCACGTCTATATGTCACACTATGTCAGAGTCAAAAACATAAGAATTTGTTTGCGAGAAGGCATGCTACTCTCAAATAAGATGTTGTATGAATAAAGAGACCACATTGAGTATCAAGCTATCCATGCCTGTGGTTTGCCTTCTGGAACCTTAATTGTGTGCCTAAGGGTTTCCTGCACTTTTGGCCTGCTAAGAAGTTGCCAGTGTGCTGCCGCTGCCATGCTCAAAACCTTGCTGTTCAAAGGACCCCTCCATGGGATTCAAGTGAGACACAAGGGAAGAAGCAGACGTCGGCAAACGAAAAAGGCAAGAAATAAGCACAACCAAACAATGCACCAAAATCTGCGTTACATTTGTGCTCGGGAGAAACCTTGTCGCAAGGTAACACAAGGTAAAATGAGAAGTCATATAATTTATATTCGTATCAGCTTTTAGCCGCCCTGACATGCCTGGATTGGGGGTCTCCCAACCCATCGGGTCCCCAAATATGCTAAGTTGCGATAAGGATAAGGGTGTTTTTGGATCCTCAAAGGTCCGAAATATGCAATCAGCGTCAAGAAAATCGCGATTTGGGGCCCCTCAAATATGCTATTTTGCGACAATCGTCTAGGGGAGTTGCCCAGGTCCTCCGTTATCTGAAATGAACGCGAACTCCTGCTGCACGCCCTCAGACTGGAAGAAGTCTCCTTCTTGCCGTGCATCGCATGGAAACCGGTGCTGCCATTCGAGAGTGGGTATGCCCGCACAGTGGGTTGAAAATATGAGTCTACGACGAGACGAGTACAGGGTGATGTATATACG